TTTTATCAATTATCTTTGACATTAAATCTGAGGACAGAGGCTGCAAATGAGATTTGTCTAAGTACGTTATATACTGTACACATTTACACACACTGCAAAAAACAGCCCTTCTAGAAATAACACACTACTTTCATGAGATTCCTCTTTGGCAGTGCATATGTACACACACAGAGAGAAGGACACAGCAACAACAATAGCAACAGTAAAACAAGGCCTTCTACAAGCAAGAAAAAGAAAGAGGCTACACTACACCCAATATTTATCTGGTTATGTGGACTGAATGAAAACTGCGAAGACAACTTTACACTCACACTCTGACCGTAAATGGGGCAGACATAGCGCTCGCGAGGGATAAATACAATACAATATATAGCGCACATGGTAACTCTCCAGACTCCTCGCAGCGCTGTCGAGACTTGCGAGATCTGTCTGATCTAGCATGATGCTTAGCTGGATCTTTTAACAGCATCTGGAGTAGACAGATGTGGATGTTAAAGCTGTTTATTATTCTGAGCATGTTCAGGACTTCTGTTCTTGATCTTGACAGTTTCAAATCGGAAAGAGCAGCTGACAAAACAATCTCTTAGGTTAAAGTCAAAAGCTCAAGCTTGAAAGTCAAGGGCAAACTGTTGAGCTCCGTCTTTCAAAATGGCTTTGTTGTATCTTTTACTGAGAGTTGTGGGCTACTGGGGTCAGTAGAGGGTCGTCCCTGGTTTTTTTATTTGCCTCACATAGCTCCTGGTAGTTGGGGTGGTGTCCCTGTACGATACCTCGCTGCCAAAATGCCAAATATGTTGTTTTTTTTTACACTGGGGCCATGATGTGGAACAGCCTTATGTTAGACACCGAGTCTTAAAACATGAGAGCGGCTTATAGAAGTTAGGTTCAAATGTTTTTATGGAACAGGGTAACTGATTTATAAATGAAATCTGCGAAGACGTTGTTGTTTTAGCTGTTGTTTTCTGATATTTTCTATTATAAATTGTGGATTGTATATTGTGTCCTTTTGGATTTCAGGACTATGTTTTAGTTTTTTATGTCTTCTTTGCGTTTTCTTTTGTCTTCTATCTTAGGACCACATTGGAATTAAGTATTTAACATGTTATCTTTTGGACTTTTTGTTCTTGTTTTTGATAATCCATAAATCAAAACAATCAATCAATCAATCAATTTAATTCATGTGTGGAAGTTCTCTTTAACCACTTTTGTTACCAAACCCTAAACACAGATGGGAGTCAGGATGTGTAAAGTCCTGTTCTTAATGGGAAAACAATTTAAAATACTATGAAAACATAATTTCTAGGAGACAGG